GTGGGTGACGTGCGGATCTTCTTTTTTTTTTGGCTGTGGACGCCCTTCAGGACTGCCTTCTTGGCCTTCAATGTCTTTGCTTTTGCTTTGGCTTCAGTTTTGGGAGGGGCAGGGGCTTCCTTCTTCGCTTTCGGAGCCATCTTCGTAGAAAGGTGACTAGGAGGATTCTTCATTTGCTGCTTCTGGTTCTAGAGGTCAGGCTCCGATCCAGCACATGCTGAGCACACAGACGGGCAGGGGAGGCTCGGGCCGATGGGTGAAGGACACCAGGACTCTGAGGACAAGCTCCTATCATATAAATGAATTTCTAGATGATAACATCCTTTCCATATTTGATGAGATTTCTAGTAATATGTTTAAAAAATACTTTATTCTCTTTGTCATTTAGCACTCTGCTCTCTAAATGTTTTGATTATACCGCGTAACTCTTATGTGTATAAAGAAAATACACATATAATCACGGATCAGTATATTAAATACGGGCAAACCTTCTTTCCTCTTTTCAATAATAATAACAGCAGCAGCATGTGACAATGAGTTCTTTCTATGTGCCAGCATTACTAGATAAGTAAACTGAGGTACAACTGGTAATAACTTGACATGATCACAAAATCAGTTAACAACAGAGCTAGAAATAGAACCATGCCATCCAATTCCAAACCTTCCACTAGTTGTGGTGGTGGAAGGTCATCGGGTCGACTCTGCACAACAGATCCTGATCGACCTCACAGGCTTAGCTGTGCCCAGTACAGACTATACTAATATAGATTTTTGACATTTATTTTAAAGCTTCCACAGTGTCTTCCTTCACCAGGCCCGTTTTGCTTAAGCTTCTAGATAGGGTTCACTATTCTAGAGTAGTTATTTAATGTTGAGTCTCATTGAGGAAACATAAAGTGTAGACGTCTAGTGATTATGGTTCAGTGCTTGGAAGCATGATTCAGGATTCTGTCTTCTAATAAGCACTCCCAGATGATTTTGGTACAGATGACATCCTAGACCTCCCTCCCATTAAGAAACATAGATCAAAAGATTTTTATTTGACAGAGTCTAAAGGGGTGTTTTCTGGTTTGGGGTAGGGACTAGGGCATGGCTCTGGCTCACAATAGGGTGTGAGTTGATCGGATTTGGCCTTTTGGGCCCTTGGGCCTGATTTTTTGTGGATCTCCCAAATAAAACAGGCTTGGAAGCAGGAGTTGCATCCACTTCCAAAAAAAGCTTGCCTCTGGAAACTCTGAACTTGGAGAAAAGATGAAAGTTTTGACTTTCGTTCAATAGGGCCTCTGTGGGTCATCTATGACTTTAAGGCACTTAAAAACAACAACAACAAAGCTTTGCATGCGTATTTTTTTTCTTTGTTGTTAGGTGACATCTAGTCAACTACAACTCACAGCGACTCTGTGAACAACAGATCTGAACCCTCCCTACCCCGCACGATCCTCATCAGCTCTGACACACTTGAGCACACTGATGCAGTCACTCTGTCAATCCAACTCACTGAGAGTCTTTGTCTTTTGTGCTGACCCTCCACCTTCCCAAGCATGCCCTTTTCCAAGGAATAGCCTCTCCAAACAACATGCCCAAAATATGTGAGACAAACCTTCACCATCTTTCCTTCCAAGGAATATTCCCTCCTGTACTTTCTCCCTTGCTGTAATTCCACCGAAATATATCTATCTGTTCTGTTGGCACTCCGTGGGATATTCAGTATGCCAACATCACAATTCAAGGGCAACAATTCTTCTGCCATTCTTATTCACTGTCCAGCTCTCAGATGCATAGCAAATGACTGAAAAGACCATGACTTGAATCATGTGCATTTAACTCTTTAAGTGGACATCATTGCTCCTCAGTACTTTGGAAAGGCATGACTTCTAATAACAGAGTCATGTACATAACTTTTTCTCATTGAGTGAAAACTTGGAGAATAAGTCACTTTTCCTTGCAAAAATCTACATACATTTTGTTTCATGTATTGACTGCAATCTCCTTACTATTATTGACAGCTCCTCATTATTTGCAATAAGTCCTTTTTCCTGCTGTCTAAAGTCTAATTTTTAGCCCATGTTGTCTTTTTAGTTTCATAGGGTTGATTACACTGAGGAATATACATTTCTCCTGTGTTCTATCACTTTATAGTCATGTCTATTGTTTAGCTGTAAGATGATCCCCAGAGGTGGGTTCCCATCTGTGCTTGAAAGTTATCTCAGAGCCACACTCTCAGGAATTATAATGCCAAGAACCCAGTTGATCTCTGACCTTCTCCTCTTGAGCATTAATGAGGCTGCTGATTTCCATAATGGGATTGCTAAAAAGAGAGAAAACGGACCCCAGCTAGAATGTGTTGTAAATGCCACACCAAACAGTATAGTAACAAGATCTTTGTGGTTATTAATTAAGTCCACTGATAGAAACTCATTTAATCTTTAATTCTGTTCTGTGGAGGACCATTTTAAGGTGACTATTCCTATGTAAAATGGCAATATAAAAAGATATCAGAAATGACCCTCGAAAGTTAGATTTGCTAAGTAATTTGTTATTAAGTTCCTAAGATGACACCTAGTAGACCTGGTCACCTTTTGAGATCTACAATTTGCCTGGAACCAAGAATCTGTTGAGTGAAATGCTCCTTTGTGAGACTGAAATGGATCACTTCTATGTGTGGGAGGAGAGAGGAAGAAGGTGGCCAAAAGCAGTCTAACTGATGGTCATCCGTCACAAGAAGCTGAGGACCAAGTCTAAGAGGTAAAGGTCAGGAAGTGGTACAAGCCAGGCCACCAGGGCATCTTCAAATGAGTAGGTAACTCTGCCAACAAACATGGACAACACTGTCTAGGTTCTGGACGACAACTACACCCGCATGGAGAGATTACTGCTTGCATCTTTAATGAACAAGGACAAGTCTCCACTTGCCTTCTGCGAGGCAGTACGCAGCTCGGCCAAGCTGGTGGCGAGGTTCTTGGCACACTGGCTCAGCTGCATGGCAGCAGCCTGGTCACTCACAGTGGGCACTGCAGCTTTGGCTGAGGACACCATCTTGCTCCCGGGCTGCGGTGAGAGGAACAGAAAGTGAAAGGACGCAGGCAAACAAAGTCAGGAGGCATACACAGTGCGACACACTGTGACATAACAGTCACAACTTACTATGTCCTAAAAAAAAGAATACTAAAGCCATCACCTACTTGCCCTTTAATAAGACTGCCATCTAAAATTAGATACATTAAGGCAGGACAGTCTAGCATTTCTTTTTTTTTAAAAAAACTATGTATGGGAGGTCAAAGAGGCAAAACTGGTATAGTGGCTTGCTGTCATTTCCAACAGATTTCAAAGAGAGCACCTTATCTAATAGGATTTCTTTTAATATCTTAGAGTAGTTTTTAATCTTTGTTATAAATCTACCCCACAGTCTAGTTAGAAAAGGGACAAAATGAATGAAATAAAATCACCTGATATCCCACAATCCAAAAGTATTTAACTGTGTATGTATATGCACACACATATATGTATATGTGTATGCATACATGTATATCTAGTATTTAAAAAACAAGATCACATTATTTATAGGTATACAAGTCTGTCTTGGATGAAGTGCAGCCAGGGTGCTCACTAGGAGCAAGAACTGTGAAACCCTGCCTCATATACTCTGGGCATGGGAAGGGAGAGCTTGGAAAAAGACTTCACATTGGGAAAAGAAATCATGCTGATCAGAAGAAAACTGTCCACAAGACATAGTGGCTTTAACAGTCAGCTGGAGCATATCAGAGATGATGAAGATGGTGCAGGAAACAGCAAGGGCCAGTTCTGTTGTTCACAGGGTTGCTATGAGTCATAAATGACCCTAAGGTACATTACAACAACAACAACAACAACAACAATAAAATACAGTGTTTCATTATGTACATCTGCCAGCATTTACCAATCCCACATGGTGGGGCATGGTTCCGTTTTCGCCCTCAAATAAAATAAGTAGTGTTGTCATAAACACCCTTGCAGCTAAATCCTTGTACATATCCACACTTTTCTTTGAATAAATACTTAGAAGATTAAAGGGTAGACATAATTTCAAGGCTTTTAATGCATGTTGTAAAACTGCTCTTTAGTAAAGTTGTAACAATTTAAGTGGCAGATCATAAATACTAAGGACAAAGTATTTTACTAGCCAACTAATTTATGGAGAATGATATGAGGGTATATATAAAAAGCATAACAGATACTTAACGTAAGAAAAAGAATTGTAAGGTATGACAAATGTTCAGCATTGTATAAACTCAAGGAAATGCAAGCTAGAAGAACAGGAAGTTACTGAGCAAATCGCAAATGTTCCCAATACACATATACACAGAATGATACTAAACACATAATTCTCCATGTTGGAAAAGAAATCCTAATAAATGTTCTAAACCTACTGCTGGAGTAAGTTTAGTTTTATTCAAGGTTCTCGAAGAGCAATTTTGCAGCATCTAGGAAAAAAATGTAATGCATAGGTTTTTTGATATGGCAATGCCATTTCTATTTATTTTTAACCATGGTATTTCTACAGCAGCAAAATGAAAAGAAATAAAGGTAAAAACATGGGCTAAAGGAGTGGAATCAGGAACATCTCTAGTTCATTTTCACACAAAAAAACATATGTTTTACTTTTTTTGCAAACTGTGCAACCACCCTGTGTATTAAATTTTGTGCACAGTATGTGAGTGAATTTTATTTAAGTGGGTGTATAAAATGTGAAAATAAGTTATACTGGTCTGTACTACTATCTTAAGCCCTGCCAGTGATGCCACTTCTGTTTCAGCTATTTAACCACACGAATGAAAAGAGAAATCTTGTGTAAGCCGTACTTCTTGATGCTGCAAAGATAAGAATTAGCTGCTTGCAATTCTACTCCTAGGAATTTGTACTAAGGAAATAATCTATGAAGGGCATAAAGATTTGACCACACATACTGATTTTAATAATTTCACAGGCTGTTTCTGATAGCAAAAGTGAAATATTTTATTTTGCTCGAAATAATCCAAGCTCATAAATGTTAATAAAAACCCCATAACAATTCTTTATATAGAATTAAAAAAGGTAAATAATATGCATATACAAGCACACATGTGTACTCACCGTAAGTCCTATTAAAACCTTCATGGTATATTACTGCATCTTGCATTTATTGTACTTAGAAAATTAACCAAGCTGATGCAACACTGGGTTCTACAAATACACTGGGCTGAACTAGAAAGTGATGAGTAGAAAAATCTCTTAAATACATCAACTGTTTAGGCGATACAGGTAGATAAAAATGTGCTGATAAGGTAGAGAGATTTGAATACAATAAGCATGTAAAAAAGGAGTTTTCTACAACTTAATATTCTCATTTTACTCAATTACCTTAACATGAATCCCTCACCCACACAAAATCTGGCAACATTTAATAATTGTATAATTGTCACATGTTTGGAGGAAAAAACCCATCAGCCACTTGTATTTCGTTCCCAGTACATGAATAATGACCCTGGGTAAGGGGAAGCTAGCAAACATAAAGAGATAACTAATAAAGACTAAGCTGTTCATCATGAGGCACAGCTTACCATGTTTTCTCTCTTAGAGGAGAAATAAATATGATACTCCCAGGAAAATGGGTTATGAGCTGTCTCCCCAGGCAATTTCCCTGCATATTAGCATTTCGCTTTGCCAAGCTAAATCTACCTCTCCTGGAAACGGAAATATGAAGAGGAGGCCTTCAAGGTCTGCTTTATGGTATAGATTTTGTTAAAAGCGTGACGGGGACCCCATACCCAGGTGGGGGTTCTGGGAATAAGCCAGGAGGATGCCTCTCTGTTACCTGGAGGAAGTTCTGGCTGGAGATGATGAGGGCCAGCTGGGCGCTGAGGTCTTCTGCTTGAGCCTGGCTTCCTCTCACCCCCTGGACCAGCTGAGGTATGTGATCCGCCACTGCCTAAGGGAGCAATGAAAAGTCAAGCTGAGCACTCCCCGCAAAGGCGGAATCACCCAAAGAGGTGGAAAATGGCTCAAGGGGGTGGTGGTGTGTGTTTTAGATGTTCTATTCTATTTCTAGAGAGCTCTCATGGCCAAAGTCTGCAACAAATTGCATTGTAAACCCAAAGGCTGAGCAGTTCTGGCAGTTCAAGTCCATCAGCAGATGCTGAGGGGAAAATAAGCAATGTCTTTCCAATCCTATTATATAGCCTTGTAAATGTGATGAAGGGTAGCTCTAAGTTGGAACTGATTCAATGATGGTGAGTCTGAGTTTGAGAATATGTCTGAAAATGAGCCACTGAAAATCTTACGGAGCACAGTTCTACTCTGATACACAAGGGAAGACAATCAACTAATCAACTCCTATGCCTTCCAGGATGATGCACGTTCTCGCCTTTGCATTTACACAGCATCAGAAAGCCCAGATTTATCACTGGAGACCTTCAGGACGTGTTCCTCTGTAAGGAAGGAATTTCTTTCTTTCTTTCTTTTTTTCTTTTAAGGAAGTAATTTCTAAAGTGGAAAGTTCATACAGGAGACTGAGTATGTGGGAAAAATAGGACATTTATTTCTCAAACCTCATACTCAGTCCAATATGGTTCACTGCCTCACTCCCTCTACCAAGTGCAATTTCAGGAACTTCAGTCCCATGTACTGCCAACACTGTGCAATAACCACTCAATTGGATTTTGCGGCTGATACAACTCAAATGTCTCCTCAGAGAGGTCATCTCTGGGTGCTGAGGGAGCCAGACTCCACGTGGCACCTCTGGTCAATGCCCATGGGGCAGGAGAACGAAGACAACAACAGGAAACACCGAGGCCAGAACAGAGGGAAGAAACCCACTAGGTGTAATCGGTGGAAAGCAGGAAATCAAAGCCTGCTCTCGGAGTCAAGACTGACTGCGGAGACCCAGCTCTCAAAGGGAGAAAAGCACTCTGGAAATTCAATGCTTCGTTCCTATTTTAGAGCTGAAAACAGCTTTGTCATTGATCCTTTCTGATCTGGTCTCTCGAAAAGAAAAGAGCTGGGACAAAGGAAAGACAAAGCTGGAAAGACATGCACAGTCTCTCTCCAGAGGTCCTGCACGAGGCTGACAGAAACCAGACTCGTGTGCACCTGGACTATGGGAGCCGGTGCAAACCGGATTAAGGGGCTGGCCGGTCTGTCCTAATCACATTATTAGGGCACCTGGAGCTCTTGTGCTGTCGGGGGAGCTGCAGCGGATCGGCTCCCAGCAGCCGGGACCTCACCTTGCAACTCTGGACCAGCTGCTGCTGGGCAGCCGGGTTCTTGTTGGAAATGGCCGCGTTCTGGGAGGCCGCGATGGTCTGCGTGGCTGCAGCGGCGGCCTGCTTGGCTGCAACCTGGAAGAGAAAAACGATGACACTGCGATTAGGGACTTGGCAATGCGAACACACACGTACACAAGTATATGCATCCCTTGCATTAAAGATCTGTCACTGGTTTGCCGCCTTGAAGGCTGCTCGGTGTAAGAGGGAGAGCGCCATGGCTTTTCAAAATCCTGGATGATTCTTATCTATGTTTGGTTTACATGCCCTGGGACGAGCGATAATGACAGGCCCGCCTGAAAGCTGAAGGGCCCAGGCTCATTTGTCTTCTTCAAAAGGACAAAGGACAATTCCAAGGCCAGGATGGCACTGATAAGTAGAACCAAATCAGGATGTTTTCAGGGAGGAAATCACCCACAAGGAGCAGAGACTGCTCTCTAGGGGTCAAGCAAAAACCTGGTGATCATGCTGACCCAGGACAGAGACGCCTGGGTCAGAAACACACAGTAATGTACCCTCTGGAATAATTTATCCAGTTTATTCCCTCGTGCACTTCGAACACCAACAAAAAGCCAGTTTTCTTTCAGAATATGCCTAACTGTATAGGGATGAATCCCTCATTAAAAAGACAGGTTCTCATTCCTCAATCCACTAACTTTTAGTGGAATAGTCTCCTGTACACATTCAAGGAAGGTTCTTTTCTTATAGCCTAGTCTTGTTATTAACATTTTTCAGAGAATAAACATGAAAATGACAAAAATGTTTCTTTGACGCCTTCTTTTAACTATCTACACAGAGCTAACCCAAAGTCCATGTTTTCTCTCTCTTCTAAGTCTTCCAAAACCCCTATTTTCTATGGGGTGCCTTGGAGAAGCCATTGCCTCCAGCAGAATAGCTTTACTTGCAGCTAAAGACCCTTCCAAGGTCATGCACATTTTTTAAAGGAAAATCATCAGTGGTTGATTTTTCCATTAAAGGAAAGGGATCCTGTTGCCTTTTAAGAAACTTCTGAATTATATTCCTGACCAATTCGAACTCATTAAGGATTATAGCTTCACAAATCACACAGGGATGAAACTATCCACAAATGCTAAGACCTTCATCCCTCCTAGAGCATGACACCATGTTGCCACCCTTGAGACTGTTAATTTAATTTTTTGTTTGTTTGTCCCCCCTCACCTCTACGGTTAATTCCTTTTAGAGCTTGGGAGGGCAAGGAGTGGGGACAGGTCCTTTTGTTTTTTATAAAAGTTTTTGCAAACTAAAATGGACATCCTAGAACACCAGTTTCCCTGCTGACCTCCAGTCGGTTGACGATTTTTTTCTTAATAGCATTCTGGGCAGCAGCGTTGGTTGCCACTCGGAGACCTTCAGCCGCTTCTCTCAGCCTTTGCTGCTGGTCCTCATTTTCTGGGTTGGCCGCAGCCCCCTGCAATTGAGAAAATGAAGATTCTTAGAAGTTCAGGGCGCAGCAGGCCCCAGGTATGGAATTCATGCCCTCCATCTCTCTTTCATCCAAGTCACAGAAAGGATTCAGGATGGAATCCAAACTGCTGCAGGCAACATCTTTATGATAAAGATGTTTCCCCTCATAACAACACACATCTGCCAGGGGATGTTTCAAAACTGCATGGCTAAGCAGCAGAAATCCAAGGGTGATAATTAAACACTTGAGACCCTAGCATTCATTGTCTACACAAATTTCATGTGTGGTTAGGAATCCATGGTTTAAATAAAAAAAATCTTCTCTCCACCCCCAACAAATCTCTCAGGGAGCTTTTAATTTTAATTGGAATTTTCCTCTCCTGTGGCATTGGTACCTAAGGAAGGGCTAGGATTCTAGTATGGACGTAAGACTAGGGTGGAGGAAGCAGGGGAAAAGGGACAGGAATGCCATCTAAAATGACAATAAGGAAATATTTTAAAAAGTCTAGAATCCACCCCTGCAAGCCCTAGAGTGGATCTGGAACAGTACTCAAGTGTGGGCTACATTCAAGGCCCAAGCCTGGCAGAGAACAAAGAGGACACACACAGCCCATGCACAACCAACACCTCCTTCCTGCTGAGTCAGAATGGTCTCATAGCAGACCTTCCAGAGACTTTCAGAGGCTGTAAACTGTACGAGAAGAGACTGTCTAACTCTCTCTCTCAGAGATGCTACTGGATTCAAACTGGTCACCTTTGGATTAGCAGAGCAGCTTCCTACCCACCAGACCATCAGAGTGCCCTCAGTCCCCACACACTTTCCCTTTTCTAACTCCATAGCATTTGCACCATATGTTTCTACTTTACCACGTCTTAGGAATCCAAGAGTATTTTACTGAGATGGGTGAGATTTTCAATTAGGGAACGGATAAAGGCTACACACAGTTAAGGAATAACTTTATTCCAGAGTTATTTAATAGCCTTTAAAGTACCTTCAACCTGCATCTACCACCTATAATCAAGACATTTCTCACAGTGCCCAGTAGTTTGATGACTAGTGATTGATGTATATAGATTGAGGTTCTTTCTATGAACACTGTAGAGCAATAACATTTGCTCACAAGGCAGAGACAGGAAAAAAAGAGAGAGAGAGAGAAAATAGGTCAATTTACCAAAAATCAATCTTTTGAAAGTCCAGAGTTTTCAAACAACAACTCTGCCAAATTTAACAATTTAGAAGAAACTATTTATTTTCATTATTTATAAATGTTACAACCATTCATGTTGGATGGAATCATGCTTGCATTTATGACAGAAGTGTCTTGATGATTCTCAGAATAGAAGCCTTTTTTTCTTTTCTTTTTTAAAAATGTATTTTATTATTTTTTTGTGTGTACCGTCAAATCGTATCTGACTGGTACAGGAGGAGAGTGCTCCTTTTTCTCCAGTAGAGCATCTGGTGGATTTGAACCATAAAACCTTTCTTTTTTAACCAGTGGAGAAGAGTACTGAATGAACCTACCATGGACTGCCAAGAGAACAAACAAGTCTATTCTGGAGAGGGTGAAACCAAGTTGCTCTTTGGATGCAAGATATTTGAAGCTCTATGTCATATACTTTGGGCATACTTTGGACATGCTGCCAAGAAAGACCAGTCCTTAGAGAAGGACATCATGCTTGGAGGGGTAGAGGGACACTACAGGAGAGAAAGACTCTGGATGACATGAATGGACATAGTAATGTAAGTAATGGGGATAGGTGTGTTGGAGACAGTGAAATTGGCTCAGGACAGGGCAGACTTCAGAGCTCTTGTACATAGGATTGTTATGAGTCGCAGGTGACTACATGGCACCTAACAACAACATGAAAATAACTATTTTCTTCTATACACTAAATATATTTTAAGTCCAACATGGAATGCTTCTACTATAATTTCAACAAATTAATCAATCCTTAAAGTACTATTTTTAAAGACAAAGTAGTAACTTAAAAAAATTTAAGAGGACTATACAAAAACATTTAACACTGCCCTACACAATATTAAAAAAAAAAATCACAGACAATATAAATACTTAAAAGGAACAAGTTTTTGTAGTCTGGTAAATCTAGTGAATTCATTTGGTAAGCGCCAGGCCTGGCTTAGTCCTAGTTATGGGATGACAGCTTAATCTTTTTCAGACACAGATACACACACACACGCACACACACACACACTCTCTCTCTCTCTCTCTCACTCTCACTCTCTCACACTCACTCACTCTGATGAAATGGGTCAGGGTAACAGGAGCTAAGTTCACACTTGGATTCCTCTTTTGGTTTCCCCTTCACCCCAACCTATGAGGTACCTCTAAGAATTTTTGTCTCTTAGAAACACAATGGTGAGCTCACATTACTAGTTTCTCAATGTCGTCCCTTGCGTGTCACAGTTCACTATAAAGGAACTAATGCACACACGTGTTTGAAATACATTTTGGCTTTACTGGAGGCCAGTCTTGTGGTAAGGAATTGCGCTGTCACCCAAAGTCAAGCAGCTTGAAACCACCAGCTGCTCCATGACAGAAAGATGGGCAATTTTCTCCCGTATGATTCCAGCCATTGAAAACCCGCTGGAGGGACTGCTATGAGTCAGAACTCAATAGGACATAACAACAACAATGTATACACAGGAATACATAAAAATTTCTCCTTTGATGGTGATGAAACTGAGCGCTCTGGCAGCGTGGTCCGTATGGAAATGTACAGCTAACCTAAAGGCTGAGCTGGCAGTTGGTGAATAAGCTCCTCCAGAGCAATTTACAACTTTGCAAACCCAATGGAGGGTCAGCTATGAGTCAGTTCTGACTCAATGGCAACAAATTATATTTATCTGGATTTTTCTTTCATTTCTGGGTGACGCAGGTGTTAACGGAATTTAAAAAAAAATTTGAAGTAAAAATATGGCTTTAACTTAT